GGATACCCGCACATCTCTAATAACAACCCTGGTGCATGTGCACACACACATTTGAATATGTATCTGATTACTTGTACACATGGATATTTTTGAATAACTGAATGTGTACACGTGTTTAAGCGAACAATTCGATCATTAGATGACGATAAAATTTTTCGAGCAATCAATTACTTCCAAAGTAAAGATGCTTCGTAACATTTGATTGCTTTGAACACCTCGCTTAAACAAGTACACATTTTACTCAAAAATATTCACGTGTGTGCAAGTACGCATGCAAATGCGCGCGCGCATACACATAGAGATAAACACGAGATCAGATATCTACCATGTTTCCCTGGTTCCCTGGTTGGGTTACGCTTAGAGCAGTATTAAAGTTTTCCACTTACTTTAAAAATTATTTCAAGATCAATAAAAACATTCAAGAAGAAAATGTTTAAGAATGTTTCGAGTTTTTACGTGTAGAATCTGTAATAAAAAAATACTATGTTCCATTTTTTAAAATCAACTTCCTGTTTGGATATTTCATTTCTGATCAAAACCAGAAGTTGAATATATCACCATTTGGTACTGTGTACTCGATATACTTATCATAATTTTTGATTTCTCATAAAAATCATTTCCCTTTATTTTAAAAGGAGTGCATGGATAGTTTGGAACACTTTATATTTGCATATATTATATGTATATATAATAATACTTCGTCATAACACTATAAAAATTAATTTCCTCTTCTTTTTCTGTAGACTACAATTTTGGTTACGACAAGACTTAGTTTCGCAGGACTACCATATAGTAAATATAATATTGCATAGTATGATTTGCCTACTAACTTTATTTGTATACAATATATTTTTGGGACCAGAAGGACGGAGCATTTCATTTTACGCCGCAGCCTTATTTGCAGTACATCCAATTCATACAGAGGCTGTAATTATAATTATAAATACATCATTATCATTATACGTAGGCTGCTGGAAAAGTTTCTGCAATCTAGTATTTTCAGTGGCGTCAACGTTCTGCTACTATGCGTAAAATTAGACGTTTTTAACCTATAATTCAATTAACAGTTTGTACCCAAGCCAACTAGTGTTGTTTGCATAGTATTTTAAAAGAAATTATTTTGTAAGAAAATGGAAATTTCGCGTGAAAATTTTCAGGGAATGATTTTTTACGATTACAAATGTAATCTAACTCCGAAACAATGCATCGATCGACTTCATTTGGCTTTTGGGGATGAAACACCATCCAATAGGACTGTTTATAATTGGTTTGCCAAATTCCAGCGTGGACATATCTTTCTTAGTGATGAATTCCGTGAAGGTGGTCCATCCACGATTGTTGTTGCCACTAATGTTGATGCTGTGCGTGAAATGATTGAGCGAGACCGCGAGATTCAGGCATCCTTAGGCATTGACATGAAAGCAATACATACGATTTTGCATGATCACTTGAGTTTACGGAAACTTTGCAGTCGTTGGATCCCACACAATTTGACTGAAGCTCAAAAACAGGCTCGTGTTAAATGGAGCAAAGAAATGCTCAAGAAATTCAACCGAGGTCGGTCAAATTTGGTCTACATCGTTACTGGGGACGAAACATGGATCTATTCGTATGAGCCCGAAAGTAAACAACAATTCGTTTGGGTATTTCAAAATGAACCGAAACCAACAAAAGTTATTCGTTCACGCAGTGCTGCCAAGCAAATGATTGCTTGTTTCTTCGGTTATACCGGACATGTGACAACCGTGGCTTTAGAGGATCGAAGAACTATAAATACTGATTGGTATACAACAATTTGTTTGCCAGAAGTCATAAATGAATTGTGTAGAACAAGCCGAAATCGTCGCATCATCCTTCATCATGACAACGCCAGCTGTCACATAGCACGTCAAACCGTTAATTTTTTATCCAATAATAATGTCGAATTGATAACTCATTGTCCGTATTCACCTGATTTATCACCTAATGACTTTTTTTGTTTCCAAACATTAAAAATAAGATGCGTGGTGAGCGATTTGAGTCGCCTGAAGCAGCTGTTGGAACATTTCATACACTGATTTCTGAGGTTACAGCCCTAGAGTGGAAAAAATGCTTCGAAAATTAGTTTGAGCGTATGCAAAAATGTATCGATCTTAAAGGCGAATACTTCGAAAAATAATAAAGCCATTTACCGAATTTTACATGTTTTTTTCATATTGTTTGCAGAACTTTTCCAGCAGCCTACGTATATGTTAACCTGGAAATTATATTAATTTGAAATTATTAATAATACACTGTTAAAAATATGATTATATTATATTTTTAACAGTGTATTATTAATAACAGTGAACTGTAAAAAAATTCAGGTGATCATTCATTTAAAAAATTAGATGACTATTCCTAGGTTAATCTTTATATATCAGTATATATATATTTATATATCAGAATACACTATAATTATATTTATTTCTTCGTACGTCAGGTATCTGGAATTGTCGGACGTGCTGAATTGTTATGTGGTTTATTTACATGGCTATCGATCTTGTTGTATAATCATATGATATATGCAAAAAATATATTACATGCATGGGTTGCTATGTCCAGTTTTACTATTTGCATAACTGCAGCGATGCTGTGTAAAGAAACTGGTATTACTGCTATTGTAAGTATCAAAATTGCGTTCTTAAACTAAATTTCTTAAATATAACAATAACAGATACTTGTCTTTATCTTTTAGGGTATTTGCGCAATATATGATATAGTTATTGTGAATAAAATATATCCAATTGACGTAATTAATTTTTTTTTATTTAAACATGTCGATCAAAATTTAAATAACTGCATTAGGTATAAAAATATTTTGTTACGGCTTGCTGCACTTATTTTTATTGCAATAATACTTATACTTCTAAGATTCAGTGTTATGGGGTTTTCAATTCCAAAATTTCAATCAGTAGATAATCCAGCATCTTTTATGGATAACATATTGCTTCGTATACTTAATTATAACTATATCTATTGCTTGAATATATGGTTACTTATCTGCCCTATATGGCTCTGTTTTGATTGGTCAATGGGTTGTATATCTTTGATCACCAGCTACGACTATAGAACTTTTGTAGTCATTATTTTCTGGTTCATGTTTGGAACATTAATAATGTACACGTTTATCTCTCGTAAAAATAAAACTTTAAGGTAATCTGAAACTTTTTTAAAATTAAAAAGATACATATATATTGAGAATGATACATGTATAAAATACATACTTTTACAGATATGTAATTATGGGACTTACAATATTGATCTGCCCATTTCTACCAGCTAGTAATATCTTCTTCAATGTTGGATTTGTTTTGGCAGAGAGAGTATTGTATATTCCTTCGGCGGGATATTGCTTGTTGGTTGTTATCGGTTTACAGAAATTTTCCGCCCGATTTTCTTTGCCTAAAACGTCATTGTTAGCTTATACAATGCTCATTGTATTATTGTTTATACGTTCTTGGATAAGGAGTACTCAATGGAAAAATGAGAAACTGCTTTTTCAATCGGCATTAGATGTATGTCCTTTCAATGCAAAAGTGCATTATAACATTGCAAAAAATGCTGCAGATGCAGGAAACATTGACCTTGCCAAATTAGAATATCAAGAGGCTTTACGGTACTGTATACAGTCTATATAAAGTTGTAAATTCTCTTAAAATTTATTTTTCTAAAATCTCTTTTCTTCTAAGAAATTTAATATTATATATTTATATTCTTTATACTACACACAGATTAAATCCAAATTATGCTCAAGCTATGAACAATCTTGGTAATTTACTCAAAGATGATGGGCAGCTTTTGAAGGCTGTAAGTTTATTTAAACAAGCTGTTAATATACAGTAAGTTTGATCAAATATCGTTATTTAAGATGAATAGTTGCATCAATTTATAAATTCATTTATATCACAACGAGATTTTATATACAAGATAAAACATTTAAATCGCTTCAGGCAGATATCTCAGAAACTAAGAGAGATTTAGGAAAAAGTTTGTATAAAAGTTGTATAAAGGTTTTCTTGGGGGAAAGAAGATGGAAATAACAGATTTTGTATATGGAACGTTACCAAGTTAAGATCAAACATGAATTTTATAAATAGGAATCACTATTTTTTATTACATATAGCTAAAATCAAGACGTTTTTAAAATACTATAATAAAGTTTTTTTTTTTCATTAAGCACTTTTCGATAAAAAACTTGACAGTTACTATACTGTTAACATTAGCATTACACAAAGTGTACCACGGAGGTACTTCAGGTTATTCAGTCGGATTTAAAGAGTCTAATCATTCTAACAAGGTCTAAAATAAGCACAAATTAAGATTTTTTTTTAAATTAACTACTGCATAGAATTAACTTATATTTTATATTAGGTTGAGTAAAAAGTCATCGCGTATTTTTTAGCTCAAAGTTGTATATACAATATCTTCGTCAATAATGAATGAAATTCAAATTTAAAAAAAGGGTTTTAAAGCTTGAAATCTCTACTTTTAAAAGCTTATCACATTTTTTAAGTTTATATGAGTTTGATAATTTTTACATACCAAAAACTACGAGCTGAAAAAGACGAAAAATTTTCTTCTCACTTTGTGGATTTGTAACGTGTCCAAAACGAATTTGAGAAAATTTTCGATTACGTATCGTGAAAGCTTGATACTTTCCCTACAAAATCGTTTTTTTTTTAATATTCCTACGACTTTTGATTACTGAGTTATCGCGGATTAAATAAAAGAATTATTTTGACTTTAATTGCTCATAACTCCATTAAAAATTGTCGTATCGTATAATTTAAAAAAGAGATTTTTAAAGCTGAAACTTTACCAACAATATAAATATATCAAGATATATTTATATTGTTGGTAAGAAAGTAATTGCGAAAGTAATTGTGAAAGTAATTTTTACTGATAGATGTCTTTTAAAAAAACGCGATGACTTTTTACTTAACCTAATATGTGTAATATAATATATCGTACAATGTTCAAACTGTAAATTTGTAAATTTTGAAACAGATTAATTAAAAAGTTTAAATTATAGATCAATTCGCGTAAAGCTTCTTCGATCGGACGGGTGTAACATTCCCAAGGGAAGGATGGTTTAAAATAAAAAAACAAAATATTTTCTTATAAACAGCTATCGTGTAATTTGTTGAAAAATGTAGAAAGTAGCTCGATTTGGAAAACAAACATTTTTTTTCTATTTAAAACAACTTAAAAAATTTGTTATAAATAAATGGATTAACATATCATCATAAAAAAATCGTACATTACACAATAAATAATCTTCTTAAGATTTCTGCAAAAATTGAAGTCAATCGGATTGTTAGCTTCGAAGAAAAGTTTACATCCGTCTTAAAAAACATGCAATTTCGAAAAAAACGCAAAAGAAGATTCGAAATGATTTTTTTATATAATAAAATGGCCTTACTTTATCTTGGCTTAAAATATTCTTAAAGGTTCAAACTTTTAAAAAATGCAAAAAAAAATTTCGATTTTTTTCAAACTTTCAGGGTGGTTAGACCTCTTAATCTGTTGCGTGCGTGCGCGCGTGCGTGCGAGAGGAAGGAGTCAAAATTGCATATATCCTGTTTTTATTTTTATTCATTATCTGGATTATGTTTGATAATCAACCAGCTCCAGATCACAACTGACATGTATTTTCCCATGCTTAGCATTACCCAAGATGAATGACGTGGACATAACGGGGATTTCAACTCTTTAGGGTGTTTGATTTACATGAGTTCTCTTGCCTCTTAATTAGTGTGTCCGGTGAATACACCTAATATTCGAATAAATGAATAAAAATACTCATTCGAATACACTTCTTTTTGATTCGTAAAAAAAATGAATAAATACTTTTTCATTCCATTTGAATGAATATTTTTTTATGATTACGAATATTTTCGTTTTGTATTCACTTTTACTCTGTATTATCTGTACATAACTTGCAAGCCTGCAAGAAAAAACAAAAATTTATAAAACCAATGGCTACGATTACACCGTGTGCTTTGCAATCTATATAGGTGTCTATAGGTTAAACAAAGATATTTTTGTTGAAAATAAATAATATATTTCAGAATTTAATGTCCACAGATCATAATGAACGACGCGCCCAAGATATCTTATAAAATGTTTATAAGATTATTGTATTTACTGTGATGTAACCGGAATTATATCGGAATATGCATGACACTATCAAATAGATATTTTATAAATAAAAAATATATTGCTTTCTAAAATATTTCTGAAAATTTTTAAGTTTCCTTCATAAAATTTGAATATTACAATGATAAAAATAAATAAAATTCTATTTTTTTTTTTACTTAAATCATCAAAGTGCCGGTTATAATTAAGGAATAACAATTGCTTATTGGAACTTTCTTTTTCAGTTTATATTTTGTTTGAATAAATATGAATATTTGTTAAATATTCATAGTTTTTTGTGAATAAATATTTTAAAAAAACCCAAAATTTTGAATGAATATATGATTACATCTCTTTATGGGAAAATTTTGAATAAATACAATTTGGAGCTCAATTACAAATTTTTGTATTCATCGGGCACACTACTCTCAATAAAACAGGTAATGCCCCATATAAAAAAATCTGTTATGCCCAACTTTCTCTTAAGAAAATCTACAATTTTTATATCAAATTTTTTCCTGTATCTCTCTTAGTTTCTAAGATATCCGCTTGGGACAATTAAAATACCCTATCCCAGCCAAGTCTGCCAAGATCATGTATTACTATTTGTGTGCTACATACTATGTTGGCAGAACTCGGGCAGTAGTCGATCTGTCTCAATTAGTGTCGGTAGAAATGTAGCAGAAAACGGGCATTTCCAATATCAAGATATATTTTTAAAAAATCCTGAAAATTAAGTAGAAGTTCTTGGCATAAAAACAATATATTTTGAACATTGCATGCTGACAATGTTATCAGAAACTAAACTGAGCATAACGTGATATCATCATATACTAGCATATATCATTATATTAGCAAATGTCATCACAAATTTTATCTGATTGTACGGCATGATGGTGAAACATGGCAAAAATCAGTAATGTGCTGCTGTGTCAAAAAGTAATTGCAAAAATACGGCATGGAAATGTTATATTGGACCATAGTTCTTCTGTTTACCTCTATATGACGTATCTATCAATATTTATCTCATATTTAAATTTCTATAACGGACAAATATAAATACTATATATCGCGGTTAGTGCAAATTTCTGACACAATTCTTTTAGAAAATTCGGAATATTAAACTGATTTTTTTGAAAACCGAGCAACAATTCTCTCAATGTGGAGAATTGTTCATTTATTAACATTACTTAAGATGCAAAAAAAATTAAAAGTGCAATTTCTATTCAGCAAAATCTTATTCTGATTAAATGTACTTCTTTAATAAAGATATATTTCGATAGTCTAAAGGCTTAGGACGAAATGCAAGAGATCCGGGTTTGACTCCCAGCCGAGGCAATATTTTTCGCAATAAGTTTATTACAGTTTTTTAAGATTTGGGAAATTTTGGGAGGATTATTAATATTTCAGATTGATTGCGTTGATAGTCTGATAATCATATTGACACGTAATTATTATTTCAGAAATTAATTCATTTGAAATGAATATATAATATATAGTAGTTCAACATTCAGGCCGGAATGGCGCTTCGTCTCTTAAGTAAAAATACATTTATTAAATAAAATACTATAATAATATATTAGGTGGCTCTACTGAATAAATTTCAAATAAACACAAATCAAATAAAATTCTTTGAAACTGATAACTATAATTACACTTTTAATTACAATGTATAACGACATTATCATATTACAATGATTCTTTAATGTTTTTGGACATAGTTTGAGAACCAGGATTCTTTTGTTCATCTGATTTCATTTAAAATGACAACTAAAAATTGCACATAACGAATTATGAGTTTTTATTCAATTTAAAGCGATTTGTTTCAAACATATGATTGCGATATGTGAAATGACAAAAAAGAAATACAATGTACAAAATCGAGGCGTTTATAAGCGATTGATCTAATTAATTATTGATAATTTAGACTGTTGAAAAGGACCATATTAAGGATCGAAATGTATTTGTAATATAATTGTATTACAAAAATATATAATTTGGCATGAATTGTAACCAGTCAGGCTTTAATAACTTTTAATTTGTATTTATTTAATAAAAATTAAATTGTATGATGAAATATAATTATTTATTATGCATAATTTTTGCTGCGTTTTTGCACGTCGATGATAGGCTATACACCCTTGTCCAGTTGTCCTCCCCCCTTACTATGTCGAAATAAAAAAATGCATAGCTCAGAATTTGGAGCAATTTATGAGTTTCCAAACCCCGCAAAAAAAATTTTGAGCTCGCCCTGGTTAGCAGAAATAATTTAAAAATGAGGGGACTGAGTGGACGTCTACTTAACCTTCTCCCTCACGCCCCTTAAAATTAATAATAGCAAATCGCTTCCAGACTCAGAATTAGGAGCTGTTTATGAACTCTTAAATCAGTGCTCTTTTGATTATTAAACTTCATCCCTTATTCCCAAAACAACCTCAAAACTAATCTACACTCAAGGGGTAAGTCATTGAGAAAATAGGACATCTAAAACTTCAATAATGAATATGATTCTGGCATAAATCTGGTACAAAAATATATAATCATTAATTTTTGAGCTCCAACCCTTACCAGGAAAACTACCCCTTGTCCTTTTCACGCAAGAGAAAACTATGTTTCAGTATGAGAAAATAAATTTTATGATGGAAAATTATCTGCTGATTTAAAGGAGCTCGCGAAATACGTACAAATCGATTTTTTAACTGCAATCCCTTAGCAGGAAAATCACCCCTTGCATTTTTCACGCAAGAGAGAACTATGTTCTAGAATAGGAAAATAAATCATTTGATGACTGGAAATTATCTGCTGATTTAGGAGTTCGCGGAATATGTCCAAACTGATTTTTGAGCTCCAACCCTTTAGCAAGAAAACCGCTCCCCATCCTTTTCATGCAAGAGAGAACTATACTCCAGAATAGGAAAATTAATCATTTTTGACGAGAAATTATCTACTGATTTAAGAACTCGCGAAATACGCACAAACCGATTTTTTAGCTTCAACTCCTAAGCAGGAAAACCATCCTTTGTCCTTTTAACAGGAAAATCACCGCCTGCGTGAAAAGGACTGAGGGTAGTTTTCTTGCTAAGGGGGATTACAGCTCAAAAATCGGTTTGTGCATATTTCGCGAGCTCTTAAATCAGCAAATAATTTCCCGTTATAAAATGATTTATTTTCTCATTCTGAAACATAGTTCTCTCTTGCGTGAAAACGGCAAAGAGTGGTTTTCCTGTTAAGAGGTTGCAGTTCAAAAATTAATTATATATATTTTTGTATTAGATTTATGCCAGAATCATATTCATTAATGAAGTTTTAGATGTAGTCCTATTTTCAATGACTTACCTCTTGAGTGTAGACTAGTCTTGGAAATAAAGGATGGAGCTCAAAAATCGAAAGAGCACTGATTTAAGAACTCATAAAAAACTCCTAATTCTGAGCCTGGGAGCGATTTTTTATTGTCAATTTTAAGGGTGGAGAGGCTGAGTGGACGTCCACTTAGCCCCCCCCCCTCTCTTCCGCTACCTTTAGATTAAGATTCCTGCTAACCGAAATGAGCTCAAAAAAATTTTTTGCGGGGTTTAGAAGCTTATAAATTGCTTCAAATTCTGAGCTATGCTCAGAGCTTTTTTTATTTCGACATGGTAGGGGGTCAGCTGGACAAGGTTATACCATGGTGGAAGGAATAACATGGTGTGTGCAGTTGGACAGTATCTCTCTATAAATCTCTGCCCTCTCCATCTAGGATTATTCATAAGAAAGAAGTTAAAGTGAAACGCTATGGGACGGTATTCATAGTTCGTTTTTATTTTAAAACTGTTTTAAATATCATGTATCTTAAGCTATTAATACAGTCCTCGAATTGACTTACGACATATTAAGATTATACTTAAGACAGTCTTAAATGTAAGAATCGACTATGAATACCGGCCTGTTTCGCATTGTGAAATTGGTACTGAATCTTTTCTTGTGCAAGATGTAAGTCAATCTGAGGATTGCACTAACATCTTAAGACAATTTTAAAATAAAAACGGACTATGAATACCGTTCCATGTTTAGCGTTTCATAGCTGTAGCCCTTGAACCTTATGAACAGCCCATAGACAGAGGGCAGAGATTTAGAGAGAGAGAGAGAGACACTGTCCAACTGCATACACCATGTTATCCCTTCCATCATGGACTATACTCGATTTTTGCTATGTTTTTACTGTACTATTTGATATGATAAATTATGCTATAGCTTTGCCGCGTTTTCGCTGTCACAATGTAATATCAGATTATGCTTGATTTCTGCTGTTTTTCTGCTGTCAGTATTTGATATGACAAACTTTATTTCCGATAATTGTTACATATTTGCTGCTATGATGTGATAGTATATAATGCTATATTTTTGTTATCGTTATTCTATGTTGGCAAATTATGCTGTTAGGAACTAAGCTTAATGAGAAAGTAGTAGATTCAAATCTGCTGTAATGTCATGATCGATTGCTGGCATACTAGCCGCTAGCGTACTGCTAGCATTTTGCTATCTGGGACCCTATATACAGGGTGTGTAATATTAAGTGTAACACCGTTCATGGATAGACACAACGGACTAAACTGAGTTGAAAAGTTCTCTACCATTTTCCAATTTTTTCAATACTAAGAAAATATTAATTTCCAAAGATCACCGAATAAGTATGTATTCATCCAGCCTACCATCAAATGCAAGCATGCAGCATACGATTATCTTATGGCCGTATCACACTAACGACTCGCAGTTTGAGATATTTTCTTTCGCCGCTAATAGCCTTGTGTGTTGTCAAGACCGCTTGTAGTAAAGTAAACAATTTCTTGTGCGTCTAGCAACTTACGATGGTGAGCAGTCTAGCTATGTCGTCGCACACTTGTATTTAGCGGTAGGCTGCTACTCAGCATTTAAAAAAATTAATATCTATAAATATTACAAAAACTGCAAAATGGTACATAATTTTTCGATTCGATTTAGTCGATTTTACCTATGCGTGAACAGTGTTATACCTAATATCAAACACCCTGCATGTAGTGTTCATTACATTTTATTGACGTATATTCATTATATTATTAACTCATATACAGGTAGGGCGAACTAAATTGAATCGTAAAATCTTGTGATATTTTGCAATATTTGCAATATTCATTACTGAAAAATTAATTATTAAAAATCGCTTAAGGAGGGATTATTATTTTTTAGGCCAAAAACAATTTTTTTTTTTTACGGAATATTGTAATATGAAATGTTAAAAATATATACAACAAATTTCAATTCGAAATTCATAAAATTAGTGAAGTTATAAGCAACTAATTCGGCGCCCAGATATTCAGCTCTACACTTGAAACTTTAAACGCGTTTTTCTCGAAACAAATTTTTTGCAATTGTTGGTGTGATATCTAACTAATGGACCGATCATCTTCCACTTTGAACTGCATGTTGAGAAAACATCCCTTTATCGTATAATGAAATAAAAAAACAACTCGTTATATATTTTTATTTTTATTGCATTTTTATTGCAAAAAATTTTGAGCGAAATCGATGATTTTTTTGACAAGCCGCTATTTTCTCAATTATCAATATTTTTTTGTCTGTT